GGAATCGGCCTCATTAGGGGCATTTAAGCGGCTATTAGATAGACGTATGGATGATAGTATAAGATAGGGGTGGAGGTTAGATAGACCTTAGGATTAGGGTAAAAATTTGGCACAACATTGTGGGCCGAAGAGCCCGTACTGTGCTGTACTGTTCTATGTTCTATGTTGTATGGACAAGACTTATCAGTAGAGTGGCTACAGGAGCTGGCCATATCCTTTACTGTCATTGGTCTTCAAAAACTGAGTGATTTCTGTATCAGGGACTGAGCTCCCACAGCCTCTGGGCTCTAGAATTCCAAACACTCACTCACCCCCAACCCCCAGTGAAGAAATCCCGCCCCCCCATCTCAGATTTAAACGTCCTGCCCCTTCTCCTGAGATCCTGCCCCTGGTTCTAGAGTCCCAGCCCAGGGACAAACATCCTCTCCCCATCCACCCTGTCACCCCACTGTGAGAATTTTATATGTCTACCTGAAGGAATGGGACTTTATCCCCAAGTCAGGATGGTGAGTGGCTCAGAGGGGAACTTGCAAGGGGTGGTGTTCCCATGTATCTACTGCCCTTGTCCTTCTAGATGGAAGTGGTTGTGGGTTTGGAAGGTGCTGTGTGAGGATCCTTGCTGCATTTCCGCAGTGCATCTTGTAGATAGTACACACTGCTGCTACTGAGCGTCGGTGGGGGAGGGAGTGGATGCTTGTGGATGTGGTGCCAATCTCCATAAAGCTGTCAGATACTGTGATGAGTGATAATGGCCCTCACATCATCTGTGAAGAATGCAGCTGCTTCAGAATCATTTTGGAGGCTCCACATCACAAATCATCTCCTTCCCACCCCTGGCCCCCCACTAGCTCCAGTCAACAACAAAAGGCTGAGGCAGCAGTGAAAATCACCAAAAGGAACCAAGGAAACAGAACAAATACACCACAGCCTTGTACAAGGCAAATGTCGAGTGCAGGCAGACATCACAGAGAGCCTGGGGAAATGTACAGGTCCGGTGGGAAATGATTAACTGAGGAAGCACTGAGGATGGTAAGGGCACAAAATGTACTCTGGGTGGGGGATTTCAATGTCCACCACCAAGAGTAGCTTGGCAGCAGTACTACAGATCGAGCTGGTCGGGTCCTAAAGGACATAGCTGCTAGACTGGGTCTGCGGCAGGTGGTGAAAGAACCAACAAGTGGGAAAAGCATACTTGACCTCATCCTTATCAATCTGCCAGCTGCAGTTACATCTGTCCATGACAGTATCAGGAAGAGTGACCATCGTACAGTCCTTGTGAAGAATACGTCCCGCCCTCACATTGAGAATAAACTCCATCATGTTGTGTGGCACTATCACTGTGCTAAATGGGACAGACTTCACACAGATCTAGCAACTCAAGACTGGGCACCCGTGAGGTGCTGTGGGCCATTAACAGCAGTAGAATTGTACTCCAGCACAATCTGTAACCTCATGGCCCAGCATATCCCCCACTCAACCATTACCATCAAACCAGGAGATCAACCCTGGGTCAATGGAGAGTGCAGGAGGGTATGCCAGGAGCAGCGCCAGGCATACCTGAAGATGAGGTGTCAACCTGGTGAAGCCACCAAACAGGACTATTTGCACGCCAAACAGCAAAAGCAGCAAGTGACAGACAAAACTAAGCAATCCCACAAGCAACGGATCAGATCTAAGCTCTGTAGTCCTACCACATCCAGTTGTGAATGGTGGTGGACAATTAAACAACTCACTGGAGGAGGAGGCTCCACAAATATCCCCATCCTCAATGATGGAAGAGCCCAGCACATCAGTGCAAAAGATAAGGCTGAAACTTTCGCAGCAATCTTCAGCCAGAAGTGCCGAGTGGATGATCCATCTCAGCCTCCTCCAGTGGTCCCCAGCATTACAGATACCAGTCTTCAGCCAATTCGATTCACTCCACGTGATATCAAGAAACGGTTGGAGACACTGGATACTGCAAAGGCTAAGGGCCCTGACAACATTCCGGCAATAGTACTGAAGACTTGTGTTCCAGAACTTGCCGCTCCCCTGGCCAAGCTGTTCCAGTACAGTTACAACACTGGTATCTACCCAACAATGTGGAAAATTGCCCAAGTATAACCTATACACAAAAAGCAGGACAAATCCAACCCAGACAATTGCCGCCCCATCAGTCTAGAACATAGAACATAGAACAGTACAGCACAGTACAGGCCCTTTGGCCCAGGATGTTGTGCCGACCTATTATCCTACTAAGATCAAACTACCCTGCATACCGTACATTTTACTATCCTCCATGTGCCTATCCAAGAGTCGCTTAAAAGTCTCTAAAGTATCTGACTCCACTACCACTGCCGGCAGCGCATTCCACACACCCCCCACTCTCTCTGTGAAGAGCATACCTCTGACATCTCCCCTATACCTTCCTCCAATCACCTTAAAATTATGCCCCCTCGTAATAGTCATTTTCACCCTGGGATAAAGTCTCTGGCTATCGACTCTATCTATGTCTGTCATCTTCTTGTACACCTCTATCAAGTCACCTCTCACCCTTCTTTGCTCCAATGAAAAAAGCCCTAACTCCCTCAACCTTTCCTCATAAGACCTGCCCTCCAGTCCACGCAGCATCCTGGTAAATTTCCTCTACACCCTCTCTAAAGCTTCCATATCTTTCCTATAATGAGGCGACCAGAACTGAACACAATATTCCAAGTTTGGTCTAACCAGAGTTTTATAGAGCTGCAGCATAACCTCACAGCTCTTAAACTCAATTCCCCTGCCACTGAAAGCCAACACACCATATGCCTTCTGTACAAGGTCTTATGAGGAAAAGGCTGAGGGACTTGAGGCTGTTTTCGTTAGAGAGAAGAAGGTTAAGAGGTGACTTAATAGAGACGTACAAGATGATCAGAGGATTAGATAGGGTGGACAGCGAGAGCCTTTTTCCTCGGATAGTGATGGCTAGCACGAGGGGACAGAGCTTTAAATTGAGGGGTGATAGATATAGGACAGATGTCAGAGGTAGGTTCTTTACTCAGAGAGTCGTAAGGGCGTGGAATGCCCTGCCTGCAAAAGTAGTAGACTCGCCAACTTTAAGGGCATTTAAATGGTGATTGGATAAACATATGGATGATAATGGAATAGTTTAGGTTAGATGGGCTTCAGATTGGTTTCACAGGTCGGCGCAACATCGAGGGCCGAAGGGCCTGTACTGTGCTGTAATGTTCAATGTTCTATGTTTTATGTTCTATCAACTTGGGTAGCAACTTTCAGGGATCTATGGACGTGGACCCCAAGATCCCTCTGTTCCTCCACACTGCCAAGAATCCTGCCATTAACCCTGTATTCTACATTCAAATTCAACCTTCCAAAATGAATCACTCTACTCAGTCTCAAATCAGTCTACTGTCAATCATCAGTAAAGTGATGGAAGGTGTCAGTAACAGCGCTATCAAGCAGCACCTGCTCAGCAATAACCTGCTCAGTGACGCCCAGTTTGGGTTCCGCCAGGGCCACTCAGCTCCTGACCTCATTACAGCCTTGGTTCAAACATGGACAAAAGAGCTGAATTCCAGAGGGTGAGGTGAGACTGATAGCCCTTGATATCAAGGCTGCGTTCAAACGAGTGTGGCATCAAGGAGCCCTAGCAAAACTGGAATCAATGGGTATCGGGGGACAAATCCTCTGGTGGTTGGAGTCATACCTGACACAAAGGAAGGTGGTCGTGGTTGTTGGGGGTCAATCATCTCAGCTGCAGGACATCTCTGTAGGAGTTCCTCAGGGTACTGTCCTAGGCCCAACCATCTTCAGCTGCTTCATCAATGACCTTGCCTCCATCATTAGGTCAGAAGTGGGGATGTTCGCTGATGATTGCACAATGTTCAGCACCATTCGTGACTCCTCAGATACTGAAGCAGTCCATGTTCACACGTAACAAGATCTGGACAATATCCAGGCTTGGGATGACAACTGGCAAGTGATACCATCTAAGTCATAGTTTGTAGATAATTGTGGCCCCAGCTTTGATCCCTGTGGTAAGCCTCAATTGACAGGTTGCTGTCCTAAATATGACCCATCATCCAAACATTATTCTGTATTAGTTAGCCAATTCTCTATCCAGGCTAATATACTGCCTCCAACACCATCAGATCTTATTAAGGAGCCTAATGGGTGGTTCCTAATCTCACTGATCCACTGGTTATTCAGGAAGGTCATGGTGACCCAGTTGTGGTCACAGATCCACTGACCTGTTAACACTCACCATAACCCTAGACTCCCTGTTCAAATCAGAAATCTGCCCAGACCAGCATTGAAGGAATGGATGACTGAGCCACCTCGTCACTGCCCATGCCCCCACCCCACCCTCCACTGTGCTGACCCCCCTCCCTCAGCACGAGCAGTGCCCCTGGTGTGGGAGCATAGTGGCATAGGGACTGAGGTAATGGCGAAAGGGGTTCGTGAATTGCACAGAAAGAGGGTCTAGTACAGAATGAGAGTCTCAGATTAGGGTGGGGTGGGCTTGTGGGTGGATTGAGGGGAGGGTGTGCGTTTCAGATACAGAGAGGGACAACATAAAAAGCTGATTGTGTTTGGTCTCCAGTGAGAGGCTGTTTGTTTTAAAAATGAATTCTTGACCAGATGCCATGTTGTGGATAGAGAATTAAGATTTTCTTAGAATTGAAGGTGGTGGGAGTTGGTCAGTGAGTGAGAGAATGTGAAATGTCTCAGAGACATACACTCTGTAATGGAGGTTTCTCACACTCTCCCAAAGATCATCCCCCAATCCAACAACACCCCAGCAACACCCCATTTTCCCCTCATCAACCAGAAACCCACTCAGCACACAGTGCAAGGAGGCTCCCTCTACTCTTTTAAACCGGAAGTCAAGATCCTTTGACACTGTCACCCATTGAGCCCCAGCACAGGGACAAATACAGGGTAAAGCTCCCTCTGCACTGTCCCCCATCACACAGACACAGGAGTTGTGTTGGTATTTTTACACTGTGATTGTTCTCTAGGCTCCTGTTTCCTGTGCCTGGTGGATGTTGTCCCGGTTCGCAGTGAGAATGGTTCTGTCATCATGTTCATCTTGAATTTCGAGGTGATGTTGGAGAAATCGTTGCTGGATTCCCTGGACCCAAACTGGAATGACAAGCTCCTGTCTCCCTGGTTTGCTGCAGGTATGAGCCTGGACATACTGAGCTCTGACCTTCCTCATCCTATGGCTCACCACAAACACAGGGGCCGACTAGGAAACCCCCAGCCTGATTGACTCCAACCCTTTACCACACCTTCCCCACTAATTGTCCCAATCTTTGACCCCTAACCACACACCCCCACTGACCACCCCAATCCTTGAACCCTGACCTGACTACACCACCCCTCCACCACTGACCACCTTAATCTCTGACCCCTGACCTGATCAACCCTCCCCACCGACCATCCTGACCCCCAACCTGGCCACTTTCCTCCCACTTCTCCCTGCCTGACCCCTGACTGTTCCCCTCCCCCTCCCCGACATCTCTCATCATCTTGATCACTATTCCCACTGATCCATGCCCCACAATGCCATATTGTGTTCCCCATTAGAATCCCACCTTCTTCCTGAACTCCCTCATTGACATACTGGTGTTCCTTGGATTCCCACCCTGAGCTGACAACACCAATTGGACCATGTTCCTGCCATGGTGAATTTCAGTAATGGAGGGGTATTTGCGCTTCTGAGCATCAGTCCTGTTTGTGATTCCCTCCTGTCACTCAGTCAGGGAAGCTCGACACTGTCCAGGACAAAGCAGCCGCTTGATTGGCACCACATCCAAAAGCATCCACTCCCTCCACCACCGACGCTCAGTAGCAGCAGTGTGTACTATCTACAAGATGTACTGCAGAAATTCGCCAAAGATCCTCACACAGCACTTTCCAAACCCACAAACACTTCTATCTACAAGGTCAAGGGCAGCAGATACATGGGAACACCACTCCCTGCAAGTTCCCCTCCAAGCCACTCACCATCCTGACTTGGAAATATATCGCTGTTCCTTCACTGTCACTGGGTCAAAATCCTGGAATTCCCTCCCTAACAGCATTGTAGGTCAACCAACAGCATAGGGACTGCAATGGTTCAAGAAGGCAGCTCACCACCACCTTCTCAAGGGGCAAGTAGGGATAGGCAAGAAATGCTGGACCCAGCCAGCGATGCCCATGTTACTGGAGTGTGTTGATGAGGCCAGATTGTGGATTGCATTATGGACCAGACTGAACCCCCTCAAAATATTTTAAGAAGGTAGCTTCGACCCTAACATTTTCTTATTTTAAAGGTAGGTGTGAAGTGCTCTGTTCCAGGTGTGATGTGACTGGTCAAACTACTCAACATTAAGCAAAACAATTTATTTAAACACTATAGCTAAAATACAAACAAAAGGAAGAGGAATTTATAATAACTTAACTATTGGAAAACTGAGCTGAACAATAGATACAGTACCCATGACTAATTAACTGTTCCAATATAGTGACATTCCATAAGCACACCCCTTGGCAAATTCAGACAGATTCTCACATGTGACTTCAGACCCACTGCAATGTGGTTGACTCCGAACTGCCCTCTGGGCAATTAGGGATGGGAATAAATGCTGCCTAGCCAGTGACGCCCTCATCCCATTAATGAATTAAAGAAGTTCTCCAATGCAGGAGGAAATAACATCAAGAGAAATTTCAGAGAGTGTAGCAACTGGGAGATGGTCACTGAAGCTTCCAATTCTTTTGAGACCCCAAGAGTTTCTTATGTTACTGAATAAACCAAAATGCAGAAATGTGGATCTGTGAGAGAGGGCCACGCCCATTCAGGCTGTTTTAAATAAAACCCAAGATGTTAAATTGTTTACACACGTTATCTTAAAGAGCCTGTTCAGTACCTCTGACCTCAATCTCTCTTAAATAAAAACGACAAAATGACCTTGGACAGCGTCGTGACAAGTGGAATGTGTTTGTTGTTGTCTTACAGGTCACAGACGGAGCTTTAAGGTCCGATTCCCGAACCTGGGCTCAGTGAGTGTGGGCAAGCTGACATTGGCCCAGGAGGGAGCAGGCCTTGGCTTGTTGAACCTGTCCAGAGCAAGTTGTGAGTCTGTGGTCATGGAGGGTCAGAGCCAGACCGAGGAGCTGCTGGCACTGGACCCTGAGGCTGAGGGAGGTACTGACCACTCCTCTGTCACACAGCGATTGAAGAAGCACCACTCCAGCTCCAACTCTACTCTCAGTCCCAGTGCCACTCCATCCCAGGAGAGCTCCTACAGCTTCCGTCGTGTCTCCTCACTCGATGACATGGAAACGACCAGGGAAGATGGTGATGGAAAGTTCCGGAGCCGGCACTCTAGCACAGGTGAGGATTGTGGGTGGCTTGGGACGGTCTCATTTGTACTGGTGTTCGGGATGGGCACCCCCAGCTGTGATTAGGGGCTGGGGTGGAGTGGGAGGCAGGTGGGGTGCTGCCTTCATCTTTAGGGAAATGTTAGACCCTCCAACCTTGGTGAGGTGACACTCCACCCCACCCCACTTTGTGCACAGTTCGGTCTGGGATTGACATGGAGACTGGTCTGGTACAGGCAAAAACCATTCAGCCCATCAAGCCAATGCTGCTGTTGGGGGAGTTGATTGTTAATCTTTGAGCTGGTTCCATAATTCCCTTGTATCTGACAAACACTCCAAAAATGCTCAGGATTTGTGGTTTTGAAATAATTTATTAAAGGTTTAGCCCAAACTGTGCCCCTGAATCTGAGAGACAGACTTCCAAGAATGGCCTGTTTTTGAGGTTCTGTGCCGTTGTACTTGTCTCCCCAACAATGAGGAGAAAACCCTGGATCCTTCTCTGCCCCCAAGACCCCAATTAAACAGATTCCCCCCATAATGGGTGGTCTGATTGTAATGAGATCAGCCAGTTGGTCCTCATAGAATGTGAGTTCCATGTTTAGGGCTGTTAACGTGGTCCAATCAGGGAGCCCTGGCTGACAGACAGAAACAGGAGTGTCAGGGGTTATGCTCACTCTGAGAGCTGGCTCTGAGGGAGCTGGATCAGTGTCAGGGATCCCCATGTGTTAAAAAAACAGTGACTTGGTGACAGGATACTGGTCTCTGTACAGTTATTTCAAATGGAAACTTTGAAAACTCAGCATCATCAAGTACAACATTGCAGCAGTTTGTAATCTCTCAGCTCTGGTGTCTGCAATGGATCACAGTTGTTGGCAATGTAGGTAAACAGGCCAGTGTATCTGGGTATTCAGGTTAACGTGGTATGAGTTAAGTTTGATCATTGGTTTGTTGTGATCACTGTGTTTCAGTGACCTGCCTACACCCATCCCAAAATCTCACTGACCTCTGTGTTCCTCTGCATTTAAACAAACCCAGGATCTCTCCTTTCTTCAGGTGGTATGCTAACTGCTGAAACACACTGTCTCAAGGGTCAGTGCTACGGCCACAGCTATTTCCAATTGATATCAATGATGGGATGAAAGGATGGGAGGGATTGTTGCTAAATTTGCTGATCGTACAAAGACCAGGGTGGGGGAAAAGGAAGGTTATGAAGAGAGTGCGAGGTTGCTACACAGCAACAGGGTAAGTATCTGGCAAACGGAGTAGAGTGTGGGGAAAATGTCAAATTGTCCATTCCGTCAGGAAGACGAAATAACCAGAATATTATATGGTGTCTTTACTGAGAGAAGCTTTTCATCTGTAATTAATCCAGTTTAATAATGATCCTGAAACCATTGTCAATTTAAAAAAAATACTCATCTGGTTCACTGATGTCCTTTCGGGAATAAAACTCACTATCCCTATCTGGTCTGACCTAGATGTGACTCCAGACCCACACCAAATGTGGTTGTCTCTTAAGTGACCTTGAAGTGGCCTGAGCAAACCACTCAGTTGTATCTGACCATTAAAATGCCACAAAAAGGAACGGAACAGATGGCTTGGTGGCTCAGTGGTTAGCACTACTGGCTCAGCGCCAGGGACCCAGGTTCGATTCCATCCTCTGGCGATTATCTGTGTGGTGTTTGCACATTCTGTCCATGTCTACATGGGTTTCCCCGGGTGCTCCAGTTTCCTCCCACAGTCCAAAGATGTGCAGGTTAGGTGGATTAGCCATGTTAAAATCCTCATAGCGTCTAGGGATGTGAAGGCTAGGTGGGTTAGCTATGGGAAATGCAGGGTTATGAGGATAGGATGGGGGGTTGGGTCTGGGTGGGATGCTGTTCGAAGAGTTGGTGCAGACTTGAGGGGCTGAATGGCCTTTGCAGGATTCTATGATTCCTTACCTTAAATCTATGCCCCCAGTCGTTGACCCCTACCTGTCTCTGCGCCTTATCATGTTATACAGTTCAATCATGTTCCCCTCAGCGTCTGCTGCTCCTCGGAAAACACCCCCAGTCTGTCCAATCTCACTTCATCACTGAAACTTTTCATCCCCAGGCAACATCCTGGTAAATCTCCTCTGTACCCTCTCCAGTGCTGTTACACCCCACCCTATAATGTGGAACTGCACACAATACTCTTACTGTGACCTAACCAGGTTCCAGTCTAGAACTGTTCTGGTTACAATCAGATCAGCCATGATCTCATTGGATGGCAGAGTAGATTTGAGGGGCTGAATGGCCTCCTCTTCCTAATCTGTGTGTGTTATTTGTGAGTGAGACATGTGTTTGTCAGGACCCAGTCAGCATCGCATGGGTGCACATTGGGGGATGTCTAGACCCACTTGCTTCCCCTCCTATTTTGCCTCACTCTGCCTTTGCCCCAACTTTGCCCCCCTTCCCAAACTGTACCCTTGTCTTTACCCTGCCTCTTGACCCCCCACCCTCCATTCTGGTTCTTCCCTTTGCCCCAGGGTGTGGTTTCACTGCCCCCTGCAGTGTTTAGATGGTGTGGGTCCTTGCCCGATGACCTTGAGCTGGCTTTGCCCGTCATTGTGGGAAGGTTGGATTTGAGAGTTTGTGATGGACTTTACCTTCACTTTATTTCAGCCAGGAGTGAAGTACTTAAACCATATGCTGTGTCTTTCCAGGGAAGAAATCTCCAAAGGAAATGAACTGTTTGGGAAACCCCACTGACACTGTTATGTGAGAGGCCAGTGTCTGCACCGTGACTGGTGTTCCTGACACACTGTCTCTCCCCAGTCAGACCAGCTGCTCTGCTCGCTGTGAATATCCTGCTGCCACCACCTCCCCGTGGCCCCCCCCCCACCACCCCACATCCACCCACCGTCCAACAATCTGGGTCCCCCTTCAAACTTGTTGGGCTTGTCATCAGGCAGAAATCCAAACAGGCTCCAACATTGTCTTCTGTTTTATCCTAAATTAAAGAGATACCCGTGACCCATAACAATCTCTGAAATGTCATGTTTGGAACATTTTAATGTGGTATCTAATTGAACACAATTTGAAAGTTGAAGTGAACTGTATCCACAGACATTCTTCAATTTACTGGGAAAATTCCTTCCTCAGAGATTCGCTGCTGGTTTATTTGATGTGGGCTGACTTTGGGAAGTCCATGTGTGTTTCCCCCAATCCATTCAAACTTGCTGAAATGTTCAGCCCCTCCTTACTGATCCCAGTAACATTCCCACGCAGGTATCGGGATCAGGGCCCTCCCAGCTCCCAGGTTCTCTCTCTCACACAGCATGTGAAACTGCTGTAATTTGATTGGTGATTTTTTTTGATGTGAATTGGTTCCAGGGGCAGTGAATCATGTGATGGTCACCCCAAACCTGGTCAATTCCACTTCGGACTCTGACCTGGCGAAATATCGAACCTTCAGCAAAATCCCCCAAATCACACTCAACTTTGTGGATTTTAAAGGTGAGAACTTCATCCTGTCATCACCAGGAGAGAAAGAGATTATTGCACCGACAAAAGTGAAGGAGAGATCCCACAACGTTACAGGGAAGGTGACCCAGGTGAGATGGTTTTGTCTGCTCGTTGGGACTGAGTGAAATTGATGAGATCTGTATTCACAAGCATCGAGCCAATCAGTCATAGGCTTGAAACACAAATTCTGTTTCTCTCTCTGCTGACGCTGCCAGGCTTGCTGAGTTTCTCCAGCATACTCCGTTCAAAAACCCAAGAGTTTCACACACAAAATCATAGAGTCATAGAATTTTACAGTACTGAAGGAGGCCATTCGACCCATCATATCTGTACCAGCTCCTGAAAGAGCTACCCTGCTAGTCCCATTCTCCAGCCCTATCTCTGGAGCTCTCTAACTTCATCCCTCTCAAATATATATATCCAGCTCCCTTCTGAAACCTCCTATGGAATCCACCTCCACCACTCTCCCAGGCAGCACATTCCAAATCCTGACAATTCTCTGAGTAAAGATATTTCTCCTTATCTCGTTCCTAGCTCTCTCGCTGACAATCTTGAAATTGTGATCCCTCGTTACTGACATACCAATGAGTAGAAACAGAATATCCTTCTTTACCCTGTCAAAATTGTTCATAATCTTTAACACCTTAATAAGGTCACCTTTTAGTCTTCTTTCAACAAGAATAAGGCCAAATTCTCTAGTCTTTCCTATATCTAAAATCCCTCATTCCTGGTATCATTCCAGTATATATCCTTCGTACTTTCTCCCAGGTCTTTAACATTCTTCCTTAAATAAGGTGCCCAGAACTGAACACAATAGTCCAAATGTGGTCTGACCAATGATTTGTAGCGGTGTAGTATCACTTCCTTACTTTTATACTCTGTGCCTCGATTTATAAACCCAAGGAACCTATAAGCCTTCGTAACAACTGTTTCCACTTGCCAGGCCACCTTCAGGGAGTTACGTATATTGAATCCTGAGGTCCCTCTACCCCTGTACTCCTCTCAAAGTTGTACTACTGAGCCTGCATTGTCTCTTCATGCTTCTTCCAGCAAAGTGCATTACTTCACATTTCTCTGCATTGAAATTCATCTGCCAAGTGTTTGCCTATTTCACCAACTTCTTGGTGACCCTTTGAAGTGATAATGTCGTAAACTATGGAAACAGACCCTTCAGTCCATCTCATCCATGCCAACCAGGTTTCCAAAACTGAACCAGTCCCATTTGCCAGCATTTGGCCCATATGCCTCGAAACCCTTCCTATTTATGTACTTATCCTGATGCCTTTTAAATGTTGTAATCATACCAGCCTCCACCACTTCCTCTGGCAGCTCATTCCATACAAACACCACCCTCTGCGTGAAAATGTTGCCCCTTCAGTCCGTTTTAAATCTTTTCCCTCTCATCTAAAACTTATGCCCTCTAGTTTTAAACACCCCAGCTCTGGGGGAAAGGACCTCGGCTACTCATTCTATCCATGCCTGTCATTATTTTTTAAACTTCTATAAGGTCACCCCTCAGCCAACAATGGTCCAGTGGAAGAAGTTGCAGCCTTTTGTTTTTCTCTATTCATTTGTAGGATGTGGGTGTCACTGGCTGGGCCCAGCATTTATTGCCCATCCCTAGCTGCCCATGAGAAGGTGGGGGTGAGTTGCCTTCTTGATCTGCTGCAGTCCACCTGCTGTGGGTTGACCCACAATGCTATTAGGGAGGAAATTCCAGGATTTTGACCCAGCGACAGTGAAGGAACGGCGATATAATTCCAAGTCAGGATGGTGAGTGGCTTGGAGGGCAACTTGCAGGTGGTGGTGTTCCCATGTATCTGCTGCCCTTGTCCTTCTAGATGGAAGTGGTGGTGGATTTGGAAAGTGCTGCCTGAGGATCTTTGGTGAATTTCTGCAGTGCATCTTGTAGATAGTACTGAGTGTCGGTGGTGGAGGGAGTGGATGTTTGTGGATGTGGTGCCAATCAAGCGGCTGCTTTGTCCTGGATGGTATTAAGTTTCTTGAGTGTTGTGGGGGCTGCACTCATCCAGGTAAGTGGGGAGTATTCCATCACACTCCTGACTTGTGCCTTGTAAATGGTGGACAGGCTTTGGGGAGTCAGGAGGTGAGTTACTTGCCACACTATTCCCAGTTTCTGACCTGCTCTTGTAGCCACTGTGTTTATGTGGTGAGTACAGTTGAGTTTCTGGTCAATGGTAACCCCCACGATGTTGATAGTGGGGGATTCAGTGATGGTAACACCATTGAATGTCAAGGGGTGATGGTTAGATTGTCTCTTATTGGTGATGGTCATAGCCTGGCATTTGTGTGGTGTGAATGTAACTTCCCACTTGTCAGCCCAAGCCTGGGTATTGTCCAGATCTTGTTGCATGTGAACATGGACTGCTTCAGTATCTGAGGAGTCACCAATGTTGCTGAACATTGTGCAATCGTCGGTGAACATCCCCACTTCTGACCTTATGAGGGAGGGAAGGTCATTGATGAAACAGCTGAAGATGGTTGGGCCTAGGACACTACCCTGAGGAATTCCTGCAGAGATGTCCTGGAGCTGAGATGACTGACCTCCCACAACCACAACCATCTCCCAATGTGTCAGGTATGGCACATTGGCCTATCCAGCCTCTCCATTATAAACTCAAACCTCCAGTCCCAGCAATATCCTTGTAAATTTTTTATACACCCTCTCAAGTTTAGCAACATCCTTCCTGTAGCAGGGAGACCAGAATTGTACATAGCATTCCAAGAGTGGCCGAACCAATGTCCTGTACAACTGCAACATAATGTCCAAATTCCTATACTCAGTGCACTTACTGATGAAGGCAAGCATGCCAAACACCTTCCTCACCATCTTGTCTACCTGTGACTCCACTTTCAAGGAGCTATGTACTTGCTCCCCTCAGTCCTTATGTTCAACAACACTCCCCAGGGCTGTCCTATTAACTGTCTAAGTCCTGCCCTGGTTTGCCTTATCAAAATGTGACATGTCAGCATCATCCTCACAATTCACTATTCTCCCTAGCTTAGTGTCATCTGCAAATTTAGAGAGTTTGTCCTCGACACCCATCTCCAAATTGTTTATATAAATCAGAAAAAGTGATGGTCCCAACGACACGTTTCTGAGAGAAGGGTAATCTGCCATTGTATTAACACTGCCTGAGCATGATCTGACAGTGGATTACCAGCAGCTCAAGCTGCTGTTTGGATGTGGCAGAGTGAGACTAACCGAGCGTTGATCAGATCAGGAATGAGGATCAGCAACGTTGCCTTGTCAGCTTCACAGACATCACTGTCCACTTGGGACATTTGATGGTTTAAGGTGAGTCAGAGAAGGATTGGGGTGGGTGGGGTGGGGAAACCTTTATTTCACCCAGCACTGAGGTAGGTTTTTGGAACTCAGTGTCTGCTTAGCGGTTGAGATGAAAACCTTAAATTCCTTCAGTATCACTGGGTCAAATCCTATAATTCCCTCCCTAAGGGCATTGGGGGTCTACCTACAGAACATGGACTGTAGCAGTTCAAGAATACAGCTCACCCCCACCTTCTCAAGGGACAATTAGGGATGGGCAATAAATGCTGCCCATCCAGTGATGCCAATGATGCCCATATTGTGACCACAAATTACAAAAAAGCCACTTGGCTTTGTTCCAGTTTCTCTGGTCATAGTGTTCTCTCTGTGTGTGATTGAAGACAGCAATTTGCTGAGAGCAGGGATTACAAGCTGCTGTGGTTAAACCCCACGAGGCTAGAGATTAAATGCATCTGTTCTTCAAGACAGAAGAGCAGTCTTCCCTCAGACGCCAGCTAGATTGTGTGATTAAAGCATTTCTGAAATTGCAGCACTTGGGTCAATGTGACATCTGACCTCAGGAGATTTAAATGTCACCCGCTGCTTTGAGTAATACAGACGTGAGGTACTCTCAGAGATGAAAGATTTCCACCCCTTCCTCGTGATTCACAGGCACGCCTGTTTCTCATCTCCGCCAAATATTTTATGAAACTCCTCTTCTTCATTCTGCCCACTGGGATGATGCAGGATTGAGGGGCTGATTGACCATCTCCTACTCCAGTTTGTCTCTGTTGTCATCCCATCAGCTCTCTCTGCTGGTCCCTCCCTTTGCATCCTGAGTCAAACTACACCCCTACCCCAGCCCCAACCTCACATCAGTGTCTGGTTTCTCTCCATCTCCCCCAACCCCTCTCTGAGTTCATATTGTTCATGAGCTTGTTCTGGCCCAGACCAGACCAGACCCCCTCAAAATACATTAAGACAGCAGATCGTAACTTTTTCTTATTTTTAAGGTAAATGTCAGCTGCTGTGTTCCAGATGCAATTTGATTGGTCAAACTACTCGATGTTAAGCCTAAAACATTTATCCAAACTTTAGTTAAAATACATCAAAAGAGGGAAGCAGTTAGAAAATCTTAACCCCATTGGAAAACTTAACAGAATAATAGATACAGTAACTATTACTAACTAACCGTTCCAATATAGTAACATCCTCTTAACACACCCTTGGCAAAAGGCAAATTCAGAAAACAGATTGTCTCACATGCAGTTCTCCAATCGAGGAGGAAAGAACATCAAAAGACAATTCTGAGAGAGAGAGAGAGAGAGAGAGAGAGAGGGAGGGGGAGAGAGAGAGGGAGAGGGGCAGTGTAGCAGCTGGAAGAGCTTCACTGCCTTACAACCCTCCCAGGCCCCAGCAACAACTGCTGAAAGCTAATTAAATACATCCTGGACCTGTGGGAGCCTGACCACATCCACTCAGGATGCTTCTACTGTTCCAGCTTTTAATAAAAGACACCCAAGGCTTCACAAGTTGTTTATCTTCTTATTGACTGCTCGGCGCCTGTTTCCCCAATCTCTCTCTAAAAGCAACCGGGGCAAAACACACCTCTTAAAGCCACAGTATTGTCACAATCCTCAGCCCCTGTTCTCTTCGTCCTACTGCAACCAGCCTGTTGGTCAGCCAGCTCCCCTTGCTGGCCTCCATGTGAACTGACATTGGAAACAACTTCTCTCCTTTATTCCTGTCCCCTCCACCCTCTCCTTTCAATCCGCTAACATCGCAGCTCCTCAACAACAT